ACACGGGGATGGGGCAACCGTGTCACACCAGGAGGGTCCCAGTCAACCCGTGTCCCACGTCCCCTGGGATGGGTAACATCAGAGAGGGTCCCAGACCCACCCGTGTCACGTCCCTTTGTCCCCGCAGCCTCGAGGAACGTCCTGTGGGTGATCGAGGGGACCTCCTGCGACCTGCCCTGGCAGGCCGCCCTCTTCAAAGGCGAGAAGTTCATCTGCGGCGGGACGTTGGTGGAGAAGAATTGGGTGCTGACAGCCGCCCACTGCCACGTCCCGGGGTAGGAGGCCACGGGCGCGACGGTGCCCGGCGGGTTTGGTGTCGATGGGTTTGAGGTCAACCAAGAATTGGTCCAGGTGACACCTGGGGTCCTGCTTTTTGCGGTCAAGCAGGTTGGGAAGGTTGATGGCATGTCAGCAGAGCTTTGCTCTGCCCCTTTTCTGCTCGCGTGTAACCTAAACTCTGCCGGTTTTGGGTTTTTTTGGGGGGAGGGGGAAGCCATAACCTTAACTCTGCCCTTTTCTGCTTTTGCTTCTTCTGCCCTTACCACGGCTCCAACTCTCGGCTTGGTGGTGGGTCCCCGTGGCTCCCTGTGTCCACCACGGACCCCACCGCCACCAACCCCGATGCCCCTTTGGCTCCATCAGCTTCATCGGCGTGCGGCTGGGGGGCCAGACCCACAAGGACCCGGGTGGCACCGAGCAGTGGCGGTACTCGGCCAAAGTCTTCAAGTACCCACGTTACAACGAGACCACCAAGGACGGCGACTTGATGCTCATCAAGTTCCTCCTGCCCGTCCACGTCAACAAGCAGGTGAAACCACTGCCGCTGGCCTCCCGCTGCCCCGTGCCCGGCGAGACCTGCCAGATCTCAGGCTGGGGGTCCACCACCAGCCCTGAAGGTACGAAGCCGCACATCTGGGGTCCCAGGTATCCCACCCCAGGGAGTCAGGTGGCCGGGTTGTCCCCAAAAGTCATCCCTTCCAGTCCCGTTGGTCCCACTCTAACCCTTGGGCAACCTCAACCCTTGAGGGAACCCAGGTTGGGTGACCTTCTCAGGAAGCCTTGGAGCTCCCGCTCCGTACCAACAAGTAGAAGAGGGGAAATGAGCTCCAGGGCAAAGAAGACGAGGTTGTCCAAGCTGGGTCGCTTGCTCCGACCCCTCCGACGGTGACCTCGTGCCCTCCATCACCCACAGTCACCTTCCCTGAGGATCTCCACTGCACCAAGGTCACCATTGTCTCGGAAGAGCAGTGCCGGCGCATCTACTCCGACTCCATCACGCCCAACATGGTGTGCGCGGGTGAATCCCGCAGTCGGGCTGATTCCTGTCAGGTGGGTTCGGGGGGGGGGCCGGCCATTTGGATGAGGTCCCACGAGGGAAGGTATTTGGGCTGAGAACGGGCACAATTCGGTGCAGCTGGCAGCACCTAGAGGGGATTTGGGTAACCGGGGGTGGGAGATGAGACGGTGTCACTCAGCAGGGGGGGAGAGGAGAGCATCTCCTTGGTGGAATTATTTTTTTGTCGGTGGAGATGCCGGGCCAGCCCCAAAACGGCCCCAAATTTGGGGTGATTCTTTGGGGTGGGCCATGAATCCCTGACCCCCACACATCCCCCGCTCTTGCCTCGTCAGGGTGACTCTGGGGGACCCCTCATGTGTGATGGGCGACTCCAGGGTATCGTTTCTTGGGGGCCGGGCATCTGCGGGGACCCCAAGAAACCCGGCGTCTACGTCAACCTCTGCAAATACACTCGGTGGCTCCAGGACACCATGAGAAGGAACTAAGCCCCCAGCCCCAAATCCATCCCACAGCCCCAATGGCTGTGGGATGGACCCTACAGCTCCTCCTCCTCCTCCTCCTCCTCCCTGATGAAGGTCCCCCTGAGCCGGCCGGTCCGAGCGCTGGGGCACGTGCCCTGGGGAGGGGTGGGCAGGGGTTGACCACAGAGCCCTGTTGAGATGTCAACGAATAAAGGTTTTTTTGACGTGGCTTTTCACCATGTCTTCAACGGGTGGAGCGCAGGTCTGGTAGGTCAAGGTGCCCTGAGTTGCCCCAGATCTCGTAGGGGCAGGAGAAGACCCAGCTCACCGTCTTTGGGGTAGACCTGTTGGCCCCCTCATGGCGTTGACCCGTTGAGTCCACCATGGGGTAGACCCATCGCTCTGGCCATGGGGTAGACCTGGTGACCCTACTACAGGTAGACCTGGTGACCCCACTGTGGGGCAGATCTGATGGCACCACCATGGGGTAGACCTGTTGACCCCACTGCAGTAGACCTAGTGACCCCACTGCAGTAGGCCTGGTGACCCCACCGTGGGGCAGACCACCATGAGTTAGACCTGCTGACCCCACCGTGGGGCAGATCTGATGGCCCCACCATGAGTTAGACCTCTTGACCCTCCTGTAGGTAGACCCGTTGACCCTGCCGTGGGGCAGACCCGTTGGTACCACCATGGGACAGACCCTTTGGCTGTTTTGGGGTCACCCAAGACTCTTTGCACCGCCATGGGGGGACAAAAATCCAGCTTGGTGTCCCCTCCCGCAAAGAGCAACAAGCCCTTGAGATACCATGGAGCCAGACCCTCCTTCTCGGTGCCCTTCATCCCAGCCCCATCTTCATGGGCCGATACGTGACCAGGGGAGGACTTCCCATCCCCAGAGGGGAGAAATTTCCCTATGACTCAGCGGGAGCAGAAGGGGCCAAATTTCCCCACCTGGGGTAACCCTGGCAGAGGCTCAGGACCGTTTCGCCTCCCCGAGGAGGAGCATCCACCCAAGGCCCTGCTGGCTGGTGAGCAGGAAGAAATCACCCGCTGGAGGCCAAATTTACTCATTCCCCGTGGAGCTGAGGCCACTATTTTTCCCCTCCGTGGGGTCATCATGGTCCCATCTTGGTGGTTGGGTGGGATGGAGAAAGCGGCGGTTGGGTGGGGGGTGTCGGTGGGCAGCAGACGCACCTCGACGTCTTCCCCGCTGCAAGAGGAGACTTGGCAAGGTCACACCATCACGTGTCGTTCCCCCGTGGCTCGGCGGGGCAGGGAGCGACGCTGGTCACCTTGCGCAAGTTGTCACCCTCCCTCTTCCCCCACGTGGCCGAGGTTTGTCGCGTTGGAGGGTGTGGGACTCGTCTGGGCGCCGCGGTGGGGAAAGAGGCTTTGGTCCGGGTCCAAATCCCCACGGAGGTATTGCTCGGCGTTGCTGGGGCCGCCGGTGGCCGCCGGTGGCTTCCAGCTCTCGTTTAGGGTTTCACCGGAAGGTTCAGCCACCTTTCAGCATTCCACGAAGGAGGTTGGAGTTGGAGGGTCCCACGTTGGTGGCCATGTGGTGGCCTGCCACGCTGGGCTTCAGCGTAGGCAACACCAGCTCGTCCATCATCCATGGAGGGCTGGTCAACGTGTTCGTGGAGATCTGGTCAACGTGCTCATGAAGATGTGGTCAATGTGTCCATAGAGATCTGGTCAATGTGTCCACGGAGATCTGGTCAACATGTCCATGGAGGTCTAGTCAATGCGTCCATGGAGGTCTGGTCAACCTGTCCACGGAGGTCTGGTCAACGTGTCCACGGAGGTCTGGTCAACGTGTCCACAGAGGTCTGGTCAACATGTTCATGGATGTCTGGTCAACATGTCCACAGAGATCTGGTCAACGTGTCCACGGAGGTCTGGTCAACGTGTCCACAGAGGTCTGGTCAACATGTTCATGGATGTCTGGTCAACATGTCCACAGAGATCCGGTCAACATGCCCACAGAGATCTGGTCAACATGTTCATGGAGGTCTGGTCAACATGTCCACAGAGATCTGGTCAACATGTCCACAGAGATCTGGTCAACATGTCCACGGAGATCTGGTCAACATGTTCATGGAGGTCTGGTCAACGTGTCCATGGAGGTCTGGTCAATGCGTCCATGGAGGTCTGGTCAGCATGTCCACGGTGGTCTGGTCAGCATGTCCATTGGGATCTATCAACATGTTTATGAAGGCACAGTCAAGGCATCCATTGGGGTCTACCTAACATGTCTCTGGAGGTCTAATGAGGTCTACCCCCTGTGCCTATGGAGGGTTGGTCACCGCATTGTTGGCGTCTACACAACAAGGCTGCGGAGGACTGGTCACTGCAGCCCTTGGGAGTAGGTCAAAATGGTCATGGAGGTGTAGGTGATACAGCCAGGTCCATGGGGTCCAGCAAGTCACCGTGTCCATGGAAGTGAAGTTGAACCGTCCCTTAGTTGAGCTAAAAGAACCACCACGGAGCCTGAAGATGACTCACCAATGGGCAAGGGGACACCAACTGGCAACCATGGGTGGACGAGAAGGTCTCCAGGTCCATGCGGAGCGCGGCCGCTGCCACCGCACGCAAGAAACTGGCACCCGTCACCATCACACCCGTGTCACCCGTGTCCCCTGTGTCACCCAGGGCGATGCCACCCAACTGGGGTCACCCAGG